TGTGTCTTCTGCGCGTACATATTTGTACACGTGTGTTTCAAATGTGTAATGCAAGTTCTCCTCTATAAAAAGTACGACGATTAATTATTATCAAGTATAATGCATATATAAAATTAAAAAGTATAAAAAACCGTTCAGCTTTCGTGCTTTCACGTTAAGAATATATTAAGAAACCGACTCGTACGGTCAAGCGTGACGTAACTCTCTTTTCGGGCCCCGAATATTGAAACTGTCGGCGACGTGAATGAAATCTGCGCTGCAAATGTGCAAATGTCATGTTTACAGGCCAGTTACAGCACCACGAGTGAACATTCTTCTTCGTTCGATATCTCAGAGACCGCTTTCGGGAACGTATCCATTTATTTACAAAAACAAAAAAAAAAAAAAAAAAAAAAAATAAAAAAAAAAGAAAAACGTACGGTATTTTTCTTCGCTTCTTAGTTCGTATTTCTCCTTTTTTCATCTTTGCCATCCTTCTTTCCCCACTCCTACACGCATCTCGATTTCATAATAATAACATACGTATCTTTTGCTACCAGCGAAACATCACACTCACATTCGGCACGATCGAAGCAGTCAAAAGCGATAGCGTATATTTTATTTTTTCTTTTTCTTTTTTTTTCTTTTAGTGTATATTATTTCTTACACACGTTCTACCTCTTTCTCTTTTTTTTCTCCTCTCCCTCTAACCCCTCCTTCCCAGCCCTTGTTTCTCTCTCTCTCTCTTTCTCTCTCTAGCTTTCACTCATTCTCTTTCACACGATTTACACTCTCTCTCTATTTGCCAATACAGACAAACATTCATTACTTCATTGATACATGTACACATTAATATATTATACTTTATAGTTTACGCTAATTATAGTAAAAACTCCTTCCGGGTCCGTTATATATTCCCTAAGAAACTACATTTTTTAGTGGATGTTCCTGACGTTTCTTTTTCCTTTTTCTTTTTTTTTTTCTTTTTTTCTTTTTTTGTTTTTTCGTTTTTGGTAAAGAAAGTACAACAAGGTTTCCATCAGTACGCGCGTGATGTACGATCGACATAAAATCTAAGATCGAAACCGGTCTCGCTCGCCGCAAATTCAATCGGAACTCATGATCAGTTGGTTGTCGTTCGGCGCAACCACAGGCGACAGGTCCTTCTTCGGCACGTCGTCAATTATCGCGCTGATCTCGACGTTTTCGGACACGCCATTCTGCAGGACTTTGCCTTTGTTGTTGCTTGTTGTCTTCCCACTTGACGAGGTCTTGGAGACCTTGGTTACCGCGGTTACCGATCTCTTGGTAGGTGATGCAGCCGTTGTGGTCTTGGTTGACGAGGACACGCGTCTCACGGTGGTGGTCGTGGTGGCAGTGCTAGACGATAAACGTGAAGACGTTCTGCAAGCAGGGGTGCTCGTTCGCCCCATGGATATCTGTTTGTTGGCCGTTTCCTTCACCTGTTTGTCAATCATCGGCGACTTACTGACGGATAGGCGAGTTCTCGTGGTACTTCCAACGGCTGGAGCCG